TTGTGATGGATTCGATTTATGCAGACTAACTCTGACCATTGTATTTGTACAGATTATTATACTACGTAGGTACTTACGTTAATTGATAATAAGTGATTTTCTTCTCAACAAATGACTTTGGGCATGCATATCTTGTGGAAGTTTTCAACTGTGGTTTATAATCAAACTAATATTGATTTTATTCATGTGTGCACGTCAGAAATTAAATGATTACCCGATTGTTTTCATCTATCGCAGTGTTATTCGTAATCTATTTATAATATATTAATTAATGACTTAAACTATAAGTGAATATAATTTACACAGTTCGAAATTATGACATGATATATAAAACTAGTCAATAGTTGCGAATAAATAATATTAAAAGAACTGAGGCAGCCTTTGTGTTTTTTAATAATAGGTAACATATTATAATTTATTGTTTTTCTAATGCATATTTCATACTTTTTTTTTATAACCAGCTGCTATTTGAATTCAAAACATTTCATATCACATAACAGGTTTAATGTTGGAGGTCATATGCAAAATGCATCAAACCTGAAGAGTATGGAATAATACATTATTCAATTATAATAGTATATTGGTGCAATGCGATAAAAAATAGTACACTGCCTTTAGGTTAGGTATATGGCTATGGTATGCGACTAAAAAGCGACCGTTATAATAGTATTGTTTGTAATCAAATCTGCTTATGCGAGTGATTTCTAGCATAATAATTCAGCAATGCATTTTTCATTACGTTATATAATATAATTATTTATTTTTTACTATTTTTTTCGAAGATGGTTTTGCATAAATTTAATCAGAATATTAATAGCAAACATGAATAACTTAACGGATAAAATAAATATTTTTATATTACATTTCCCCACATTTATTCGTTAAGATTGAACTGCTGCTAAAAACCAAACGCCATTAATCATCATGTACATGTTTGTGTTTTAAAACGTTTATATAATATCAAGTTATGTAATTTCACAAACCATAATTCATTGAAAGTTTTCTTTTTCTTTTTTCACTGTTAATTAGGTATTTATTTAAAAMATAATATGATTCAATATTTATTTACTTCGACGAATATGAAAAATTAGAAACAAATAGTTAGTATAATTTTAGCTGCATTTTAAAATTACGTATTGTCTTCGCAGAATCAGATTATGAAAAAGAAAATGCTTATTATTGTTTAAACTTAATAACTTCATTTTATCATACGCACAATATACCGAATTATTGTGGTGTGGTGTTTTGTTTCCTTTTGACAAGTATTTGTGGTTTTTGAAACTTTTGCACTTCCTGAAAGAAAATAAACGACCAGCACATGACACGTTGATTGATGATCAACAGAAAATGCAGACAATGTTCAAATTTACAACAATCAAAATTTAAGATTCAAAAAATTGCACACGAAACATATGTTAACGAACAGCGGCGAGTACTCCATTCGATCAAAAACCAAATATAACTTAGATGCATAAAATCATTACAAATTCTTATAACTGCAACTACAAATCACGCAGTTTTCATATCATAACAAATGTTTCGATTGTGTTGTTGTTGTTTTTTTATGATTATTATTATAGTGTTGACGTGTTAATAATAAATGGTACTGATTTTGGCTGTAATAGGACTGCCATCATTTATTTGACTCCCGGAATCCTAAAYGTACGTGATTTGAGATCAAAATCCATTCGGCTTTCCACCGACTGAGTGTAAGAAAGTAAAATAAAAGAGACAGAGACAGGGACAGAGAGAGGACGAAACATGAAATTAAATTAAAATATATAGTGTAATATTAAGTCGGTCAGTGTGATAGGCAAGCCAAAATTTAATTTAGGTTTAACACGGATGACTACAAAATGGGTTCTAGAACGCGTATCAATAGATAAAGTCGGTATTCAACATTAAAGATCATGTTAAAATATAACATATAATTCTTGTAATGAAGAGATTCTCAGTACTATTTTGTGCTGATGAATCTATTTTTTAAAAAAATCAATTTTTTCGGTACATTCTCAAGCATATTATTATTACGTTTGTATTCAAATCTGAATGACTGAATGAGAAAGTTATTGGTTTCATCAATGACGACTTATATTTTGTTCAGAAACCATTTTAGGATGGATAATGTAAGTAGGTGCTCAAACATTTTCAAGTGACATCTATATTGTTATCTTGACGTTTTTATTATTTTTCTAAAAAATCGTAAAAACATCAACATTTTCAACTCAAGTAGATTTTGAAATTACTATCTATTCTGCCTTATCTTCATGTTACTATTGAAATGTTGTTATGATGATATTATGCAGGTATTTGACATTTCAAGTTAACAAATAATATTAATGATCACACTGTTCAAAAATTCTATAAGTTTCAAAAAAAAAAAATTGATTTGCAAATGTATTATAGTGAAGTTTTTTTTTTTTTAAACTGTTGGAATGGTATTATAGCAATTTTATTTTATTTTTTTATTTTTTATAGGTCTTGAAATTTATACAATTTCTGCTTCGACTACCAGGTCATTAGCAAATCACTATAAACATACATTAATTATACTTATAATAAAGAACAGAGCAAAGAAATAAGAAAAAAAACAAAAAAATGAAAAAAATACAAGAGAAATAGTTRGAATTAATTTGTTTGGTATTTTATACATTGAAAGGTTGGCTAAAGTAGTTTGAGTAACTTGGTTGTTTTGAAGAATTCAATGGTGTTGGTTTCATTGTCAGGATTTGGCCCTAGGCTAGCAATTTTATTATATTACTTATTTCTTTAAAATAATTTAACCAAAAGTTAAAATAATAGGTATTCTTCTTCTGTGACGTACCTACGTTACAAGAAACCTCAGCGTATTATTTTTAAAATTTGTTTTTATTAAATAAGATATAACAATAATAAACGATGGATACGTCATATAAATGAATACTAACCAAATAAAACAATCTCCCTGTGGGATATTGATCATTAGAATCGATTAAAATATAATTTGAAAATATCAAGTGTACGTTTTCCCTCGAGTGCCAATTTCATATAGTCCCTTGAACTCGGCCACTAGTGGTTCGATTACTATCCGTAACAGCTCGAATTGAGTACTAGGGAAAAAAATAAAAAAGTACATGACACAACGCTCTTGAGAGATAGTTTCGTACAAAAGAAGGGTTTATTTTATATAATTTGTTATTATTTTTTCAAATTGCCTCTACAAGTTTGAGAGGTAAGTAAATGAAAAAAAAATCTATTGGTGATTTTATATACAATAAGAGAGTGTGTAACAGATGAAAAAAACATGAATCACAACAGTAAAAAATATATTTTTATATTATTTTTATAAGACKTTTTCCGTCGGAGAAAATTAATACTGGTCTAATATTCCCTTTACGAACCTTGTAGCATTTTAATTGCTACATGGTCCCATTCTTCAGATGTAAAGGATAAATAATTACGAGGGGATGATTGTAGGATATATATTTAGGAATGTGTGTGTGTGTGTGTGTGTGTAGAGGTAGAGGGTAATGTCACGCTGAACTAATTAATATCTTTGTCATTTCAGCGTTCAACCGCAGTTATAAGGTCTACGGGTTTTTCATTACGAGTCTCCCTAACTCGGCGGGCATTCATCCAATTCAATGAGATGATTTAAAATTTAGTCATGACGATTCGCTAGTATATATATATATATAATATATATATGTATATAATTTTATATTATGTGAAATTCCAACGATAATATACTGCGTCCGTCGAAGCGACGCCACCGTTTAGGTACAGGTGGTATCGTTACGATAATAATTTCGAGTCGAACACGAATTGTAAGAACCGATCGAACATACGTATTGAATTACAAAATACGGTAACAATAATTTTCGTACACAAAATAATATAATGTGGTTAATCGAATCGTAGCGGGAACGCCGGTGAGAAAGTTTATCRAGCCCACGTTAGGGTGGAGAGAGAGAGAGAAACAATTTATGTTTTCGTATATACGGTGATGAATATTTCAAATGTGAAACTAATATTACTTGCAAATCCATAAAAACTTCAATGTCGCTTTTAGCAGCAACGTTTTTTTTTTAAATGTTAAAAAATAAATGAAAAATAAAAACAAAACGTAGAAAAAGTAAGTTTTTTTCGCTCATAAATAGTTTTCTTATTTGCTTTGAACGCTATCCAAAAATTAACTTTTTATGTTTTATATATTTTGTCCCAAAATTTAGGGTGTTCCGTTCAAAACTTTCATGAGTTATGGCCGACCTATGTTAGCATATACTTATTAAAATCCATGTATTATCGCTTTAGTATAGAGGTTCACAATTAGTAGAAATTACGAAAGCAGTAATACTAAAACAAATAATATCTTAGTTGCACAGGTGTGGGAATTTGGATCATTGTAACATGTAGGTACATAAATGTATATACTATATTTCAACCATCGTGTATTTGAATGCGTATTAAACACAGTAAATTTGACTATGGTGTATAGCATTTTAAAAACATCGTGTATCTCGAAAACATTTAAAACAATATTTACAATCGAAAAAAATAGTAATCGAACGATTTTATGATTAAATACGGATTCCGAGTATCAACTAAGTTTTGGGCAAACGACGTCTATTGCAAATCCCAATACAGACTTGCCATTTTTATTAATGCATCGAACAATTAAAAGTTTATTTTGTGTTTATCTATAGTTTGACTACAGTTTAATAGTTTATGATCACGTCTCTGTGAATTTCCACCATTTTGGAAATCGGTAGAGTACTAATAATTCATTGTTGTATCGCCGAGGAACTCGTTTCGAAATTGCAATGTGTCGCGCACGAGACGAGATCGCATCTTAATCTCGTTCCAGACGAGTACCGATATAATGACGCAATAAATCAAATCGATGGCGCAGAAAAACCTATTCTAGAATAGGTGTTTTTTTCCATTTGTTTTTTTTTCTTCATCATGCGTGCATGCGTGTACATATGTGTGTTTGTGTGTGTATGTGATACAGCACTCACCACTATGTTTATGCGTTGTACTCGGGAGGATGACGAAAACTGCGACCGCGACGTCGTTAAACATTCGCACACCACATCAGAACGGGTGAAAAAATAGTATTACAACAATAATAATAATAATCTAAGTTTAACACTCTCAAATGAAAAAATATGAAGAAAAAATCGACAACATTTAAAATATTATGTATATATATATATATATATAATATACATTTAATAACGAACAGCGATCGCACTTTGCACGGCAGAACACTTAAATTTTTTAACTCCTAATATTTATTTGAGGACGCATGTATGTGTGTGTGTGTGTTTGTATATAAGTGGTTGTGTGTGTGTGTCAATTTATGTGTATTTGTTGGGTGTGTACGCAAAAAAAAAACCGGAAAGAGAACGACTACGACAACGACGAACGAACACCGCACCGGCCGGTCGTAAGGTTGCTCGGAAACTGGCGGGAGCGTCGGCGGCGGTGGCCGAAACGGAATAACGGGACGACGGTGGTGTATGGGCCCGGGTGGGTAAGGGTGGTTTGTATAGATTGCGGTGGCGGTGCGTGGTCGGAGCGAATGTCGCGGGGGAAGGAATCATTCCTCTATATTCGCGTGTGTACGCGTGAACCACCCCACACGCGTCGCGTCGTCGTGTCTCTACCCGCGCCCAATTTTCCGGAGCGGTGACGGCGGCGTTCGCCTTGAGAGATACTGTCGGTCGGTTGGATGTTTTTTTTCTTCTCTCCATGTCTCTGTTTCTATCTCCCTCTATATATATTTTTTTTTTAATTGACAGATCCGTTATCTCTTCAACACACGTCTTAGAGGTGGCACAGTATACTTCCAGTGGTGGAGGTAACTGTAGTGTGTCAGAGACAGTAGAAAAAAAAAATGAGGACCACCCCGATTCGATCAATCCACCACCAGGTGAGATCGGGTGTATATTATATACGATTCTATACGACAAAAATATTACATTATACCCCCGTGAATATATTATTATTTGTTTTCCACACGCACACGATATCCACCGTAGGTTTTATATTCCGTATAATTTTAAATACAAGGCGATTCACCAAGCGTGCTTACTCCCGATTATCCCCATAATTATTCTGATTTTTGGAAATGTTTACTACAATATTATTGTTAACGTCATTACTTTMTTACTATATCGCCTCAGGTATCTCCATAAATTGATTGAAATCGAAGTATTTGAAAATGTACTTAATAATCCAAAAATCAGAGTTTAAATGAATGCATCAGCAAAGAAATGACATTTGTGGTGACCATTCAGTGACAACACTACGTGAAGTATAAAATTCTGAGTGGATACTATTTTCTGACACTAACTTGGTTTGAATTTGACTATAGTTTTCCGAAAGTAACATAAGTGTCGAATCAGTCTGTATATTGTTTGTATCATTTTTATCATTCAGTTTTGCACATGATGATATTTTATCTCATATAACACTACGAGAAATTATTTATTATTAATAGGAACCACTTGAAAACGTCACACGCATGGCTTAGGGAAAAACATTGTCTGTCGCCGGATTTACTATAAATAACTGTGGGTTCAACGTTTTGTTTCCAAAATAATCACTAAAAATTATGTGACTACGGCAAATGCATTTCGATGTTCCTAATATGGTATAATATCAGTAGTCATAATTTAAATTTTAAACTTGCTGGTGTTGTAACAATTCACACCAAATAGATCCATGAGAACCTCCCATTCCCTTAACCAACACTTATAATATACTTCCAAACTAAACGCCCATCAAACCATATTAACACAAACACGATTCGAATCATAATGTTTTTAGACACCTATTACCYAGCTACTATGTCAATAAATACTATAAAGCACAATATAATTGCAAAAAATTGTGTCAACATGACAACACGTCCGAATTAAATCACAATAGAATTGATGTGATTTGTCCGTCATTGAAGGTTTCTAACCCATTTTGTACGCAGACGCAAACATTTCTAGCGTCTCTCTCTCTCTGTTTCTATATATATATATATATATATATATAGATTAGATTGTGAAAGGGAAATCCTTCAAATTTGAAGAGATGCAGGATTGCTAATATTCTAGATTTTAGTTTATATATACTACTAAAAAGTAATTTTAATAATACGTTATCCCCCTCAATTTCAAAATTTACATTTGTATCATTGTTACGTATGATGCATTCAACAAATCTGTGCTAAATTTAATTTCTCCAGGATTAATTAAATTAATTCCAACCAGTCAATGTAGCTAGCTATTTTTGATCCACCAAAGACACACAAAAGCACAATAATACATTAAAATGAAAATGTGAATTTCACTAAGTCTCTTGGCTTTCAGATAAAAAGAAAACGCTCAAGCGCATCAAAAATATTCCAATTTCGTCAACAGTAAATTCAAATAACTATTCAAATAACTAATAAAAATCGAACACATTTCCATGCCACACAAACTGTAATTATAACGATCTTTTTTCTTTATTATTCAACCATTATGATCAACGAACTGACTTTTGATCGCAAAAATAATGGTTGCCAATATTGATGACAAGCTCGCATCTAAAAGCATGTTAAAATATTTTTTTATATTTTAAAAAATAAGATAAAAAATTTTTAGAAGTGCCAAAAATATAACCAAAGTTAAGTATAAATATCTCCATCTCCTCTAGAAATATTTTTCCGAGTTTAATCTACTTATTATGTCATCTAGATTATAATATTTTGTTTTATTTTCTCGACAAAACCTTAATAACAATTTTTGAAGTGAATATTTTCGTCTGATTACTGTCGTTTGTAATAGTTTTCGCAACCTAATTCATTTATCTCCAAAACAACTTGTTTCTATAGCTTCAAAAAAATATAGGATACCGAATAATCATTTATGATTGTAAGCTTTAATCCAAAACTGTTTCGTTTGGTTCGTTACCAAGATGATATAATAAAAAGACGGATATAAGATGTCCATAATAGCATTACTTCAGTGTGAGTGTGATAATAATATTTACATTGATATATTTTAGTCATTTATACCAAAATCCGTTTTCATCATATAAACTGTAACGATCATATTATTTATTATTATTAAGTAACACGTACATTTATCACATTTGTATTCATCCAATGTTCCAAAGATGAAAATTAATCTCGTAATTCTTAACCAGCGTAATATATTGTATTTATTTATAGAATAATAGTTTAATTTTTTTTTTTTTTAATAACTTTCGAAAGTAGTGGATATTGAGACAGATTAATATAATATCATAGTTAATCATATAAATATATATCGATAACATAATAAGGTGGATTATATTTAAATATAATTTATTATTATTATGAAATCTATTTATAATATTTCAGGTATAATAGTATTTTATTGTTTTATTTTAAATTAAAATAGTATAAAAGTCATATTTTTAAACAGCATAATGTACCTGCAGTGATCACTGCGAGTAAACTGTATTAACAGATTTTAAAAATAATACCAAATTTTGATTTCACGTTTATATATGATCATGATGTAGGTACTAAAAAAATTAATAATATGCAAGTTTCAGTAAAATAACCTTTGCAACCCTATGCTCCACTACAACTATAGTACTTCAAAATTTAATTAATTAAAATATTGTCGTAAAAAAAAAAAAAATAGTAAATTGATTTCAATTTGATCCTTATAAAACTAAAAATATTTAGTTATACTTCTAAAAAGCCCGTATTTATTTGAAATGAGCTAAATAACTTTAGTGTCAAACTATATGCCGACAATTCAAATGTTGAAATTCGTGAAAACAGAATAGGAATACCACACACATACGTCAATTTGTTTGATCAAATTTCTATTTACATTTAAATAGAGCGCAATTTTTTTCCGCATTTAATTGTATTCTTATTGTGTATGCATGAATTGCACATATCAAATATATTAAATTAATTAACGATCTACCATATATTTTTTGAATAAAAACAATACACTATGATATAGATTTCAAGAGTAGGATACTTTGAAATGATTTGGCAATTAAATAAAAATATTGAAAATAAGTAAATAAATATTAAATAAGTATATAAGTAAATAAGTAAATGTAAAAAACGAACATTCTGCATGTATACAAATTAGTGAAATTATACACCAGCTTCCTCGATTGAATTGTTTTCTACGATTTGTCAACAAGATTGCATTTACAGTTTAACATAAAAAACTTTTCTAATATTACGCATATAAACATTATTTTTTTTCACTCATTACAACGTAGCGTTCAATTATTTAATTAGGTATTCAAGTTTTAATTTCATAAAACAATAATATTCATAAAATTCCAAAGGTAAAATAGTATGTATATATATTATGTATATCATTACTCGAAGTGCCTGAGAGATATTGTTGTGCCCTCGGGTGACGTGAAAACAAAAAGTTGATATTTTTTGATAATAAGACAATGCAGACAGCGCAACGACTGTACATCTCGAATTTCGTCGAATAAATACGGGAATTGTTGTCGTCCAAGCGAATGTAACTAAAAATATATCTTTTGTGTTGATATTTTCGCATTAACTTTGGTAATGTTCTTGTCAATACAGCTTTACTTAACAGAAAAATACTTTTAAGTTTCCACCCGGTTTAATAAGCAATAGCTTTTATATTATGTATTTATATTATTATAATATTATGTACGTTTCATATACTTTTTTATTGGTGTACACTGTACAGTGCATATGAAATTTGAAAGCTATAAAAAAACTCAACTATGAATCTCAAAATCTTTGTTTGCGGATATCAGATTTAAATGGTTAAATTTGGAAAATAGTTGTCTAATGGGTCTCTACATCCTAAAATAAATCTACTGACCGAATTCTATATTCATAGCTTCGGTAGTTCCAGCTAAACGATAATGAATTAGTCAGTCAGTCAGTAATGATGAATTATTTTATCTATAATATAAAAATGAATCGTAAAATGTGTTGGTAAGAGCATAACTCAACAACGCCTGGACCAATTTGGCCAATTATTTTTTTTTTTAATGTTCGTTGAAGTCCAAGGATGGTTTTTACAGCGAGAAAAATTCGAATAATTGCTGGGAAAACCCTAAAAACAGCCCTTACTATAATATGGATAATATAATTTTAATCGTCTCCATGACAATGTAATCACTGATTAAGAACATCATCTATGGTAGTCGATAATTTGTGAGCTCTCTGTTAATGAACGATTAAAATTATAATGATTTGGTAAATGAACAATTTACAATGTCATTACATTTTTTATTCATTATTCGTGTATGTATATTATTTAAAGACGTAAATTTTTACTAAAAAGGTTGAAAATTGAAACATCAACAAACTGTCAATATTTTGTAAGTGTTGTTTTTCTTGGATTTTCCGTTACCTACTCCACTGAGTTTGCTTTTGTCAACTGATACACGAATTAAATTCGTATATCGTGTTTTGTGCAGAGTGTTAAGTTACCTATGAATTATGATCATTAATTATTGCATGTGACACAATAATTTATATTTGATATGTCTCCTATACGACGAAGCAATTTAGGTAGAAAAACCCGAAATGCTACAAACCAAGGTAATTACCGATCTAATCAAAGTGCACAAGAACGTGACGACCGAAATGAACGTGAAAGAATTCGGATATCACAAACGAGTGAAGCGCGAGCGCGGCGACATTCAACTAATAATAGCGCAAGTTTAAATCGAGCTGCTTTCAGTTACGATGTGCCAATTGACTACAGTAACTACCACTGTGTTGTTATTGGTTCAATGAACTCGGTTTGCTCATATTGTAAGGCTTTGAAATACAAAAACGAAGAAAATGGATTGTGTTGCGCAAATGGTAAAGTGAAATTGATACCATTGGATCCACCACCAAAGCCATTGTACTCATTGGTTTCAGGAATAGGAACAGATTCCAGGGGCAATCATTAAGTGTTTGTGGTATTAATCTGGAAAAGCCATGTTTCTCACATGGTCAATTGTATGTTGCCTGTTCCCGTGTTGGGAAACCATCAGATTTATTTGTCTATGCGCCAGGTAATCAAACAAAAAACATCGTATATCACAAAGCACTACAATGAAAATAAAAGTGATTTTTGTTAATAATTATGATTGACATGATTAACAACAAAGCGATTACTTACTTTTAAATGCTTATTTATGTTTTATTTAATTATTTTTTATTCACACCGCCCTATCACCAGGGTGACGGTTCTGTTCAGGAGAATKTTTTGCCCCGACAGGACGAGTACGGTGACGGGGAGGTGATACAAATTATTAATTAAATAACAAAAAACAAATAAAATTGAGTAAAATTGAATAAAGTTTGAGTCATATGGAGATGGTACATTTTAACGGGCAACGAAGTGCACGGGATCAGCTAGTATTGTAATAGATACAATTAACTGATGATATTTTGAATTCATATACCAAATTATTAATTAATGTATTCTTAATAATATCATATTATACCTACTAAACAAATAATTATACTCATAATTATTATTCTATTGATAATTTTTAATCTATTCTGGTTCGGGTGTATAATTATTTATTATTACGTGTGATATGGATAATAAAAATACGTAGGTGAGTAATATATTTTGCAGAATGCCAAAATCATAGTAATGTAGCTATTTTGCCTATACATCACGCCGTGTTACAAAAATCCTACTGGAAATTTTTATTATTATTAATATTCAAGGCTGGGCATTAACGAGTTAAAAACTTAAAGTTAAGTTAAAAAGTTAATTTTACTTTAACTTTTTAACTTAACTAGTTACCTTTGGACTTTCACTAACTTAACTATTAACTTATTAATTTTTTTTTTAACTAACGTAAAATTAACGAATTTATTATCATTTTAAGAAATAAGTTAATTTATTTTGTTGTAAATTTTTTAAATTTAATTATTTGAATCTGTTTTGATTTTTTTGTCATGTCAAAAAAAATATTTGCTGTGAATTGTTTCAAGTTAGAAAAATTATATTTTTAATTTTATAATAAAAGGTTTTACTTATAATATGTCATTAAATTGAATATTATATCAAGTAACAATAATAATATATCTGGGGGTGGAGTGGCCGAGCGAACTAAGGCGTCGGTTGCGACGCACGCAGTCGCCGGTTCGAATCTCGGTCACGGGCGGAATCGCTCTTTGGGCATTTCGCGATGTCTGGAGCGAGAGGCCGCCGGCCCCCAACCGGGCATGGCAGAAACCCACGGGTGCCCATTCAAAATTCTGCCTAAAACCTTACAGTACTTTCCCCTACAGTTCCCCAGGCTAATGACCTCAGTTGTCGAAGCCCTAACCATAAAAAAAAAAAAAAATAATAATAATATAGACATAATAATATAATATAGTACCTAAATGGGGCTATATGCCTATATATGGTATAATATTGTTGTTATCGACGATCAACGACGCACGTCGTCATTTCGGGAAAAAATAAATACCAACACTAAAGACTAAAAATAAAAACCAATTACCTATCGATTTTTCGATTATAATATGGTTTTGTGCGATGTCGACGTGAATCTGTAATTTATCAGTATTCAGTTGTGATTGTGAAAATTTTGGTTTTTAGTAACAGTAACAGTATGCACGTTGAAATATTAAAATATTAAAATTAAAAATACCTACTCATCATATTATTATTTATTCAACAATTTATATCAATAAGGTAAGTGGTAACAAACTATAATAGCAACTACTAATATTAAATAATTGGAAATATAATATGTTTAATATTTTCAAGCTGTAGTATCTTATTCTTAAATGTCTTCAGCATTAAGATTTTTTTCATGACGAGTGAAACCGAAATAACATTACAATGGATATTCTTAAAAGATTATTTTGAACAATTATCAAGTAAATATGATGGACCAAATTTATATTTTAGGTGAATTTTATGCAAACCAAAAAATAAAAGGATTTCCACTTATCAAACATCCAACTCAAACATATTAAAGTACGCTTATTATTCATAAATTATAAAAATATTTAATGGTTGAATAATCTTTACCTAATTGTAGGTACTTAAATTTAATTATTTAATATACATTTATAAGATTAGAATAATGAAATTTAAAATTTGTATAACTTGTTTTAAAAATAAATAATAATTTTTCCTTTTTGTTTAAGTATTGTTATAATAGAATTTAAACAGATGCAATTTAGATTTTTATTTTTATTTGYACTAAAACACATTTAAAAACCTTTTTAGAAAAAAGAAAAAGTGTAGATACATTTAGAGCTAAAATTAAAACTAAAATAAAATATGCTAACAGGACATTTATAAAAGTTTTTACAGATTATATTTTTAAATATTACTAATAATTATGTAAKAACTAATAAATAATATATTTGTCAGCTTATACATCAGAATCATTTAAATGCATTTAATATCTGTACCAAAAAGAGATCAAATGAAGATTTGTCTGTTCAAGAATCAAAAAAACAGTTGAAACTTTGTGAAGTTGGAAAAGTTCGTTBAAAAAATTTAAGCCAAGCTGAATTTGACAGTGCCAATTTACAGCTCATAATTAGTACTGTATCTCCTTATTCTTTAATTGAACATCCAGCTTTTGTTAAATATTGCCAAATAACATCAAATAAAGTACTAGTCTCAAGAAGAACCCTTATGCGTAATGTGGAGTCCATGTATACCCAAATGATAAAACAAATGAAAGATTATTTTTAAAAAATTAATTATTTTTGTATAACTGCAGACTGTTGGAGTATATTCCATAGGTATAATATATTAATATATTAAATATATTATTAATTTTAATTTTAAATTGAATTATATTATTGTGCACATACTATTAAAATGTAATGATTTTAATATTATTTATTTTCTGGTTATAGATCATAATATATTGGTTTTACGGTTCATTGGATTGAGCCTAATACACTAGAACGCAATTCTAAAGCACTTGCATGCAGGCGCATGATCGGACATCATTCATATGATAATATTGCTGAATGCATTGATAAAGTGCTTAATGAATTTAAYATACAAAATAAAACAACTCTCGTTGTTACAGACAACACTTCAAATTTTGTTAAAGCTTTTAGGAATGTATATTCTCATTTCTCTAGACTTCTTGCATTTCAAACAAAGTAAACACATATAGGTTATAATATTAAATATATCATAAATTCATAACAATTAAAATGAATTTTTCAAGTCTGTAGAAATTATTAATTAAAATAACATTGTTGCTTTATATTACTATATTAAACATTATATTTTTGTGTATTTGTGTATAAAGTACATACCTACAGTTATGAATTAATAAAATAATTTTAAAGTATTCTAAATAGTTTCAATTATAGATTAAAGTTTGTAATTGTTTATGTAAATTTATACTTTAGAGTGTTCAGTAATGAAAATGAAACTGAAGCTGATCATACAGTCAATGACAGTGATGAAACAGAAGAAACGGATATTGATCCAACAAACATTGAAACCATAGAATTAACCAGTGTTTTGGGATCGCCAAACATAGAAAAGCCTTTAGACTTTTCATTCCCTCCACATCAAAGGTGTGCAGCGCACACTTTAAACTTGATCGCTGTGAACGATATAAGTGAAGCTGAAAAAGATGTAGCATATAGACTAATGAGTAAGAGAGTGTTTGGAAAGTGCCAAAAACTTTTTAATAAACAAAATCAGTCAACGATTTGTGCTGATCAAATAAAAAAATATCTAGGTCGATATCTTATAACACCTAATGCAACAAGGCTATTACTTATAATTTGTTATATTTAATAAAAGTKTTTAAAAATGTACAGATAAATGTTAATTTTCATATCATTTTAATGTATGTTTAGGTGGAATTCTTACTATGATGCTATAAAATGTGTTGTGAATAATATTGAAAAAATTGAAATGATCTGTATTGAGCTGCAATTGCCAATTATTTCAAAACCTCGTGAAGTTGCATTTTTAATTGAATATTGTAAAGTAAATGACAAATTTTATCTAATAATTTATTAATTTGTAAATTACAGTTATTAAAATCTGTTTTTTTTTTTACATGAATTATATCGATTTCTGAATAATATTAGGTCATGAAGCCTAAAATAAAAATTAATAAATAATTTTAATTTATAAAATATTTTGTGATTATTTATTACACAATAAATATACAGTATTACTATATTACAAACGCATACACACACATATATAATATCTCTTTGAAAGAACTAAATAATACTAATTTATTATTTATAGRTATTMATTATTATTTATTAGTTTATATTATTACTTACTACTTATTAGATAGGCAACTACTGTTCTTAAAAATACAATATACCTACTATATGGAAATACTGTATAAAGTATAAACACTTTAATCTATAATTTAGTTTTGATTTGTTAAAAAATTAAGAACGCTGGTCACTGTTGTATAAAACAAAAATTAACTTTTTTTTAACCTAGTAAAAAGTTTAAAAAAAATTGGTATTAACTTTTAACTTAACCGAGTTAATCTATAATGAAATTAACTTTTAACTTTTTGTTATTGGTGCATATTAACTTAACTTAACTGAGTTAAAAAAAATCATTAACTTTCCCACCCTTGTTAAATAATATTGTTGTTATTGTTGTTATTATTCTTTAGTGAGTGGGTGTTTGATCGTGTGGAACAAGTCTCAATTAGTTTGATAGTGTACAATAATACAACGTTTATATTTTATTATTTATTATTGACAGTTGTTAGTAACAATATATCATCATGTTTCAAAAACCGTTCCTAGTTGAGATCGATGTGATACTGGGTCTTGTTTATGGATCTACGTGTTAATGTGCCAAAATAAGGTTAAAAATTCTTTCAAGTCCATGACTGTTCTATAACATACAATATTGTTGGTTATAATTTTAAATCTTCTAAAATAGTTAATATAATGATTAGAGTAAAATAACCAACATGTATTTTTGATAAAAATGGATGTGCAATGTGCATGCTCATTATTTGTTAAGAAAATTTGTGATGGTTTTTTTCTTGCGATCGTGGATACAACGCTGGAAATTGTAAAGCTACTCGATGAAGTATATTATTTAGAATTTTTAAGCATATTCTTTGGATAACATACATAATACACGAAATTTGTTGATCTTCCAATCTGCCTACATAGGTTAAAAGAAAAAAATGCACATAATTAGGTTTATCACTGTAAAACTAAGAAAAAATCATCTCTTTTTTATGTTTTAAGAAAGAAAAAAGCAGTTGGTTGGAACACATATGTATATATGTGGCAAGGATTTGTTGCTAAAAGCCTTGATGTTCACCCATATAAAAACTAGCAACATTGGCCAGTGGGTACAATCAGATTGTTTCCATATTTTAGCGTACGACCGCGCCACATCAAGCCAATTTTATTTAATTATTAAGATGAAAGTGATTCATGTCTTCAAATCTTATATATATAAGATATAAATATAAATATATATATATATTATATAAATATAATATATATTATATTTATGTGAAACAATTTTATAGTGAACTAATTTTGTATTCGTTTAATCATTTTATACTTCTTATTATGCATGCAGATCATTTTGTTTAGAGATATTCTATAAAGCAATACAAAGGTCTCCAACCTTATTTTAGTGCAGGCCAAATTCGAGATACTTTTTGGCATCACGAGTCAATGTTTTTAAAGAAATATAAACGTTATGAAACTATGGATTAGATAAAAATACATAAGATTTATTTATATACATTCATCTTTATTTATATAAACGTTTTATATTTTATTAGAATATAATATATTCATTCTTATTATTCATAATTTGTAAGTTAATTAATGAGACGTTAGGATTTGTTTGTTTTTCAAAATATATTTTGTATAGTTAGATACAAACTATTTACTATACATATAAAAGGGGTTTTATTGATTTAACAAATCATATATATTTTTAATAAAAAAATATTGAATTTTTAAATTGTGTAACATGTAAATTCATTTTATTTTGTATACAATATTTATAAATATATTCATTTTAAAGCTAAAATTGTAAGAATATTATTGTTCGTTAAAAGTAATAACATAAACTTTTGTCAGTTTTGTATCTTCAAAAACTAAACTCCAACAAAAAAGTAATTTGTTAAATTATTTTGCAATTTTATCAAAGTTGTAATGATAGATCTTAAAATACTAATTAATCAAGAGCAAAATAGATTCCTCTGTTCTCCAGAAATGTTGTTAAACAATTACAATAGGTCCCTTTTATAATTATTAATATTCACCCGTTTTGCAGTCTCGTATTTATACCATTAGTTATAACTACAATATTATTTCCGATTTAACTATTGTAAAAAAAATACTTGTTATAAAAAATACTGAGAGTATTATGTTATTATATTATATTATGTCGGCTGTTATTTGACCAAAAGTTTTGTAGTCCCGGATGACGAATATAGCACTGATGATAACGGTCAGCCAATAACAACGATGGACATTATAATAAAATTATAATAATAATAATAATGTATTCGAATAATTATTAACAGGCGCGTTAGTCAGCGCTTCAGCGTGGTTGTTTTGAATACGATCGGGACAAATGTATTTTTCATTCGGCGGTCATTATTTTAAATAATTGCGAGCCGTTCGCGTAAAAGGTAACGATCGTTATTTTTGATATCATCCCTGCCCCTTTCTCATCCCCGCTCACCTTCTAACCCCATACTCTCTCACCCCTTTCCGCTCTCCGTGACCCACTCTTTCGGACAGCGTATGAACCGACCAAATCTCATCGCCGTACGCAGTGGCATTACTAATGATAATAACAATAATAGCTTGTAGTGGCACTAGTCGCACAGGTGAACAATATTGGTAAATCGTAGTGTACTAGTAGTAGTAGTAGAAGTTTACGCGGTAAATTCAGAGTTGTATTCATACACACGCGTACGGAGGCAACCCATTAATTCTCTCATCAGTCACTCTCGAGCTGACAACTCGTACCGTCGCTGCCACGCCCACGCAACATATACCACAACCACTATTACTATACTAAACAGTACGTCGAAACGACTGGCTCGTCTACGCAAGTATAATAGAYATCAACTATTGTTGAATTATTATACAGGGTGCCCCGCGAGGATTTGCCCATTGCGATATCTCACGAAAAAATGGAAATATCAAAATTCTGGTTATGTAATTAGACTCACAGAGATAAGAACTACAAGTCTACAACTATTTAATGTTTTAATTTATTTTAATGTTTTGTAAAAATATTAAAAATATATTTTTTATTTTATCATTTTCCAAAAAAATTAAAGATAGCCATTTTGTAGAAATTATTTTTCTGAAAATATTGATGTTTCAAAATTTTATTTTCATTAATTTCCTGATTTTTAATTTTTTTCTAGTTTTGAAGAAATAAAATATGAATATAACTAGATATACTGAAAATATTCGGCTGCAGGCCGTACGAGAACGAGCGTGGCTCGGTAAATCACATGTTTGATAACACTATAGTGTTAAATAATTAATTTGCGATTTTTTTCGAGACTAAAAAAAAATAAAAAATCAGGAAATTAATGAAAATAACATTTTGAAACGTCAATATTTTCAAAAACATAAACTCTACAAAATAGTAACAATTATTTTGGAAATAATCAAATAAAAATATATATTTTTAACTTTTTTAACAAAACATTAAAATGTTAAATAATTATAGTTCTTATCCGTGCGAGTCTTATTACAAAACCAGAATTTCGATATGTCCATTATTTGAGGAGATATCGCAAAGGGTAAATCCTCGAGGGACACCCTGTATGTATATATGTACCGTATAGTACAATCTATATTATTATGTGTGTGCGTGTCCATGCCCTATCTAACACAGTTGTTTTCCAAAGAGCGGGAGGCAAATATTACTGCGTAACGACCATTTGTTCAACCACCGATTAGCATTTTCGTCAGGGCGATAATATAATTATTATACATCACAATATGATTACTATTATTATTTGTAACTATTTGCTGTTCGATGTTGTGTTCCAACGGTGTTGCGACGAACGATTAATTCATCTCACACCAGTTCCTTTTAAAATCAAAATCCTAATTATTATAAATATAATGGTAATAATAATATAATAATGGATATTATAATATAAACTCTTCTGCGTTTCGGATCAACGTTCTGTTAGTCCAGGGGATCCACCAAAAAATTAATCGATTTTATCTCTGAAATCGCTCGAGATTAATATTCTCCATTCAAAACGCGTGTTTAACTTCTTTCAGACARGGGTAGAAACTATGTACGACATTCGCGTAGTTATTCAGTAGTATCTGTGGTATACGTCATAGGTATTAGAAGGGACACCGTATTACGGCCATATATTTTTAGTAAAACCGTGGAAAATTATCAACAAAAGATACATTTAATCAATAAAATGAATAGTAGATGATAAGAACTATTTAGATTAGTTTTTAGATTGGTATAGAGATTATTAATACCATTGTTTAAAATCGCAGATAGTTAAAATCAAACACCAGATCAGGGACTCCCAACCGTTGTGCTACGGCACAAAAGTCCACTCTGAAATTCTACAAGTGTGCCGTGTAATATTTTTCTCATTATGTGTAGATTGTGTGTCCACCCAGTGATAACATTTTAAATGTATAAGTCACACGTAGGTGTGTGTTGATAGTTATTTATGTTTTGATTTAAGCAGAATTACTACSTATCGGATTAACTTTAATGGTTTTTATTGATAAAAAATAATATGTATATATTTTATTTCTTTATGTGTGCTATGGAAATTTATTTAAACATCAAATTCGTCGTAAAGTGAAGGAAAGATGTTTAAACTTTATAATATGATCCTCCTTTGGTGGTAGGAATAAGTATGGATAGAGTCAACTACAAACATTATAGTATAAAATATGCTCTTTAAATAGTAAACATCACTACGTTGCTTTTTAMAKGTACACAAAACTCAGAGGWTGAAAAATATTAGAATTAATTTATTTTGCAGGTATGGTTTTTTTCTCGACTAAAAATTCAATTTAATTTTTTAATGTCAAGTTGATTTTTTTATCAGTTATTTTTTTACTTAAAGAAATAATGAAACATATTATATTATTTAATTTTTAACTTCACAAAATATTTAACTTGCTACGCATTAGCTGTACTTTCCCGTATAACGTCTCATTTCTAAGTAAAACTCTGTTTAATAATATTCATTTTTACCAGTAGGAACTGTTTAGTTTTTCTCGTTATTTGCAAAATACGTTGAACAAGTCAGCCAAAAAGTCTCCTTGTTAAATTTATTAGGCGACATATTCCACAAAGATTAGTGTTTGATTGTGAAGGTCCAGACATTCCATTACGCAATAGAATGTYTGYCGGAGTAGTTCGAACGGACTAAAGAAGAAATTATAACATTTTTGGGATTTTAATCTTAAATGAGACCAGAGTACGAACCGGATCTTTCTCTACGTTCTAAAATAATATATTCGATATTGTATTATTCGAGTTTCGGTTGTTCTAATGTAAAAAAATTTATTTCGTGTTCGGCATTGACGCATTGTTTAAATTTTCACTTATCTCTCTATCTTGAATTGGATATTTCATATTGAATTAATTTCACGGTGGCACTTTTCTTCGGTTAGTTCACCCATCAACAATTTACCAACAATCAATATTATAAT